GGGGATCTGTTACCGATGTTCCACGATCTGTTCTCTGGTCAGCTTCAGCTATTTCAGTTGAACTTTGGAACAATTACATTACTCCCGAAGAAAACAGAGGCTGTGAGAATTGAGCAGTTCCGGCCTATCTGTCTTCTTAATGTCAGTTTCAAAAATTTTACCAAGGTTGGGACTAATAGGCTCACACAGATTGCGCATTCTGTGGTGCAGCCGACCCAAACCGCTTTCATGCCAGACAGAAACATCCTAGAAGGGTTGTAGTCTTGCATGAGACCCTCCATGAACTCCATACGAAAAAACTAGATGGGGATGTTTTCAAAGTGGATCTCGAAAAGGCGTACGATAAAGTTAAGTGGTCGTTTCTACAATAGGCTTTACGCATGAAAGGCTTCGACCCAACTTGGAGAAAGCAGGTTGAATCTTTTACGCAAAAAGGAAGTGTTGGAATCAAAGTGAATGATGACATAGGTCACTATTTCCAAACACATAAAGGCCTGAGACAAGGAGATCCGATGTCACCTATTCTGTTCAACATCGTAGCTGACATGTTGACCATTCTAATAGGTAGGGCAAAGGATGCTGGCCAAGTAGGTAGCCTTGTACCTCATCTAGTTGATGGAGGGGTGTCTATCCTATAGTACGCTGATGACACTATACTTTTCATGGAGCATGACTTGGCAAAAGCGCAAAATATGAAGCTGGTGTTATGCTTATTCGAACAATTGACGGGCTTAAAGATTAACTTTCACAAGAGTGAATTGTTCTGCTTTGGAAGAGCCAAAGAAGAACAAGAGGCTTATAAGCAATCGTTCGGGTGTGAAATTGGAAGTTTACCTTTTACGTATTTAGGTATACCAATTCACCATCGTAAGCTAACAAATAGAGAGTGGAAGTGTGTTGAGGATCAATTCGAGAAGAAACTAAGCTGTTGGAAGGGCAAGCTGATGTCCTATGGGGGCCGATTAATTATTATTAATTCAGTCCTCACGAGCATGCCTATGTTTCTTTTGTCATTTTTTGAGATACCAGTTGGAGTTAGGAAAAGACTGGATTTCTATCGATCCCGTTTCTTTTGGCAGAGTGATGATTCCAAAAGGAAATATCGACTCACTAAATGGGGTATTATTGGCCGACCAAAAGACCAAGGGGGTCTTGGGATCGAAAATCTTGAGGTGAAAAATAGATGTCTTCTCAGCAAGTGGCTGTACAAGTTATCTGTAGAGTTGAAAGCCTCATGGGCGCAGATTCTGCGCAACAAGTACCTTCATTCCAAAACTTTGTCACAGGTGACAGTGAGGCCGACGGACTCACCTTTTTGGAAAGGACTAATGAGAGTTAAATCGGTCTTTTTCAATAGAACAAAGTTTATTATCGGAGACGGTAACACTACCGGATTTTGGGAGGATACATGGCTAGGGGAAGCACCTCTCGCACTACAGTATCCGTCTCTTTATAACATCGTGCAACGGAGAGATGCTCTGGTTGCAACCGTTCTCCGGACCGCTCCCCTTAATATCCAATTTAGGAGAACACTTCCGGGGCGCGTTGGGAAGCCTGGCTACATCTGGTGAGAAGACTGATGAATGTGCAGCTTGCTCAACGGTCGGATTCACTGAGCTGGAAATTAACCAGGAATGGAGAGTTCACAGTTAAATCGATGTACTTAGATGTCATCAATTTTAGCTCTATTCCTTTCTCCAAACATGTTTGGCATGTCAAGGTCCCTCTGAGAGTTAAAGTGTTTATGTGGTTTGTTCATAAACAAGTTATTTTAACCAAGGATAATTTGACAAAGCGCAATTGGACCGGCTCTAAGAGATATAGTTTTTGTGATCAAGACGAGACTATCAAACACTTCTTCCTCGATTGTCCTATGGCGAAGGTTCTTTGACGGACTGTCCACATTGCTTTTAATATTACTCCTCCGAATAATATCAACACGTTATCTGGGACGTGGCTGGATGGGATAGAGGCCCAAACGGCTAAACACATTCGTGTAGGAGTATGTGCCTTACTCTGGGCAGTCTGGAACTGTAGGAATGATTTGGTTTTTAACAGAACAACAAATACTCATTTTTTGCAGGTCATCTTCCGAGCTACTACGTTGATCCGTATGTGGTCACTACTCACTCAGACGGAGGCCAGAGAGCATTTGGTTACTGGATCTGCCTGATGGGAGATGGTAGCTCGGGCTATTTTCAGCCAGTTTGGATGGCGGTCATGTAATAGGATAGGCAATTAGTTTTCCTATCTTTATTTTGCATGCCGGCTGTGGCTTTTACTTTGTTGCTCTTTGTGAGCCGTTTGGGGACTATTGTGTAACGGAGTTACATACCTTTGTTGGACCTATTTTATTTTAATAAATGTGGCCGTATGCATCTTTCTAATGCAGAGGCCGGGGCTGCGCCCCATTTCCAAAAAAATGAGAACCCTGTTTTGTCGGGTAGGGGGGAATAATCTAAAATTTCCCTTTCTGTACACATTTCTTACTCTCATTTACTTCTATGTTCTGAGCTATGCGATATTTTAGATATTGACGGTCTTCATGAGCCAACTTCAACAACAACAAAAATTGCGAGTAAACTTTATATTACTCAAGAGACAACCGTACAATCCATCTTACACAATTCCATAACTTCCAGGAGGTCGGAGCCTAGCCAGATTACGGTTCTACTCTTGGAACTAGCATACTTAGCTAAAAAATCACTAACAGAGTTTTGAGCACGGTTGACATGAGCAATACAAGTCATACGGAAAGTCTTGAGATGCTTGATTTCTGCCACTAAAGACGCATAGATCTGTACAATTTAAATAAAAATTAGAACACCAATTTAATAATATGAATTAAATATTTCTCTAGGACTATTTAGATTCCACAATCAAAGTTAGAAAACACCTATTACAAACATCATTTATTTTGAAACCGAGTAAGTATATATTTTTGGTCTATTTGTTCAATTCTGTTCATGCTATACGCTCAGTCCAGTCATTTTACACTTTTGCTTCCAGGTATTGGTAGCATTATCCTTTTTCTTTGTATTGGTAGCATTATCCTTTTTCTTTGTATTGGTAGCATCATCCTTTGAGCTGGGCTGGGCTTGACATAACGTGAACTAAAAGTTCCAAGCCTGAGCCAAGCCTGGCCAAACCCGAAACACATGAATGGTGCCATTTTAATAATTAAAATAATCATTTTCAGGGTATAAAAATATATTATATCTATTTTTTGAATATACAATATGTACTTTGGTCATTTTGTGTTTTTTGGGGCTGGGCTTCGAGCGGAAAAGTGGAACCTGATCCTGGCCCAGATGCCAGGCATTTGGGCTCAGGTTGGGCTGCTCATGACAAGTCTGAGCGTGAGTAGGCCAACATGGATGACATCTTAATCACATGTCAATTTTACACCGCGACTGCAATGCGTACCGATTAGGAAATTATTTTCCATGTACTTAAATGTGGAACTTTAAAAAATAATATCTCTACAAAATAAGACGCAATGCATGTGAATAATCTATTGTTTCAATTGATAAGGTACTAGGAGGTCGGGATACCACATATCAAACTATGTCATGAACTTTAGGTATATTCATTGTTACCACTTTTTGTGATAGCACCCTTCTGGTTGAGATTGTACCATGTGGAATTATATGTATCACCTGACTCCATCGTTGTCTTAGCTTGGCAGCCCCAGGCTTCTCACAACTCATCTTTCTTAACTTTTGTTTTTTCTTAGAACGTCGACAATGGAGTGGAGATTTTGTAGAACTATATGATACCCCACGCGTCGTTGCGGGGTGTGGTGGTGGAGCAGAGCCAACCATCAAGGACAATGAAGGGGTGGTGAGAGAATGGGGGTTTGGTCGGTGAGGGGAATGGAGTGGGGAATTAAGGCCGGGCCGTTCCATCTCCCGTGCTTCCCAACGTATGTAGCCCCGAGCCACACTGCGCCCGCAGGAGCCTAGCTCTGAGGCAACAATAAATTCAGACGTTCCTCCTCATCCAGACCCAGGGCTGCTTTAAGAAGCGTGCGGGCTGAAATTACATAGGTGCAACGTAACCTTGTTTTTCTTACGGGAGTGCCTTGTGTCTCGCTTATTACAAATTGAGATAGTTACAATGTTTATTATGAGAGGCATGATAAACCTGGGTGAATCACCGTCCCAAAATAAAGCAGTACATTAGAATCTGTTGAAATATATTACCCGTCTCTCTCCATCAATTCAGACTTTTGGATGAGTTTACTGGAGCATGAATTCAGTATCGTATCTGAGCCAAGAGGTCTTGACCATCTCTCTACATCAGTTCAGACTTTTGGATGAGTTGGCTGAAGCATGAATTCAATACGGGATCTGAGCCAAAAGGTCTTGATCATCTCTCTACATCAGTTTGGATTTTTGAATGAGTTTGCCGAAACATGAATGCAATAGAATCATAAGCATGCCTACCGATAGAATGAGCCACCTTGTTTGCATTCTTTGCACAACGTTAGAAGGAGATCTTCCCAATTCTTTGAGATCTCACAATTCACAAAAAGCACTCGGTCATGATTGTGAAGTAAAGGCTCGAGACTCCGGCCGGCTTCACCATTGCATAGTACTCCCTCTGTTCCTAAATATAAGTCTTTAGAGTATAGATTCACTCATTTTACTTCATATGTGATCTATAGTGAAATCTCTTCAAAGACTTAGGAACGGAGGGAGTAGTTGTATAAGCTCCAAAAAACCAGACTCGACGATGAATGGCCTGAAAACTGATTGACATTTTTTTTAGTTGATTTTTTTAGTTGATTGATTTGGGTTTTTTCGTTACACGAGATGTCCATTTTTTTGTGGAGCGGGCTATGCGGGTGACTTGTGCCCACTTTGACACTGACTTGGGTTCATGTCGGGTTCGGAGAGACGGAGACCGATCCCGAGCTGAACCGCTAGGGTTAGCAGCCGCCATAAATTTGGTTGGGGGCGGCGCGGGAGGTCTCAGATCAGACCCGGCGGCCGAGGATGAGAAAGACGAGGACGAGAAAGATGAGGAAGCAGGCGGAGGGGCAGGAGCCGAATCCTGCCGTCGCCGAGGTGGCGGCGGAGGAGACGGCGACGAAGACCAATGGGGAGCCGGAGCCGGAGCGCAGGGTGGTGAACGGCAAGAGGATGGTGAGGAAGAGGCTGCCCATGAAGAAGGTGCGCCGCGTGCTCGCCATCGATCACAAGCCAGTCGTCATCCCGTCTCCCGAGAGAGACCTCCCGCCGGCGGTCCTCGCCGCCATGAAGCTGCGCCAGGCCCGCGTCGCCAAGATCCACAAGGTGCAGGACGACATCCGCGAGGACCTCCGCACCAAGGGCTACGTCATGGGCTGGGTCACCGACGACGACGAGTAGTAGTAAAGGTGGAAGATGAAGCGGAAATTGGGGTTTCGAGTCGGAAGCTTTATCCATTGCTGATTGATATTAGTGGTGGATGCCTTGTAATCTGAATGGTGGAAGACTCGATCGTTGTTGGTACTGATTTGCATATTGAGTAAGCCTTACCTTCTCGATTCCCCGATGCTTACTTTTTGATGCTGCTGATTAATTTCCTGTTCCGGAGACATGGACGTATTGATTCATCCGAAGTAGCCATGGCTAAATCTCTTTTGAGTTATTCTACTATCATGTTTTTATTTGTTTGGTCATCACGAAACAAGAAACGTACGACGGGCGCTTCTGGAGTCACAACTGAAATGTATTTGTGCCATCAGTTTTGATTTGATGTGAACTTTTGATCTCTTCATGTCATCTCAGACAGAGCAGTGATTTCACCCCTTGTGCAAAGTGCAAACAGGCTGGGGAAGCCACTACTGAAGTATTGCTAAGACCTGAGGTTCACCAAGCTAACATGTCATTTGTTATTATAGTTTCCTTTTCAATGGGGATCACTGGCTGTTTTTTCTGTGGGGTTGCAAGGTTGCATTTCAAATTTTAAGGGTTCAACCCTGAACTGTAGGGTTAGTTTAATTTACATCAGCTTTGAAAAGTCAATGTAGATGCCACATCATGCAAAATCATCCTCCAATATGGTGTGTGTGTGTGCG